CCACTGCAGCACCTAGCTGCCCCCTTGCTGGACATTTATGAAGCAAGCTATGTAGGCAAATGGTTGCCTACACGATTCAACTGCCCATGGAAATACACCCTTTCTGCCCCCAGATGCCTCTTGCTGGTCCATGCCAGTTCTTTGTCAGGCAGTATGCTTTAGTGCAAAGAGAGCTAGATTTGAAATCAGAGGTCCTTGCTTCAGATCCTGGCCCTGCTTCTAACTCAGTGTGACCTTAGCAAATCACATTACCTTTCTGGGTCTCAATTTTCTCATCTATAAAATGACAGGCTCAGAGTGAATGATCTCTAAGATCTCTTCTATCTAAATTCTATGATCCAATGATATTCAAACCCAAAGAAATATAAAGTATAATCCACAGTCCTTCACTTCAAGAAGCTTGTCTCCCATTGGGGACATAAGAGTCATACACATGATCTTGGTTATGTAATAAAACAATCCAGAGTGTGATTTGAAATAATAAATGTTATAAGGTCTCAGAGAAGAAGGGATCAGCCTGAGCTAGGTCAGGAGTTGGTACTTGAGGTGGGTCTCAAAAATCTGGGAAGATTTGGAGAGGCAGAAGGGAAAGGAGGACATTCTATACCAAGGGTATAAAAGGGGGATAGTAGAGAGGCTGACCAGGCTAGAGCAGAGGGCACGATATATCCAACAAGATGGCAGATTAGTTGCCTTCTACAAAATTCTTTAACCCTTCGACTTCCCCATCCCAAAGGAATTATACATCAGATGTAGAAGAATTACAGCTAAATCCACAGGAGAAAATAGAACCCCTTGTCAAGGTTAAAACAACTTCTGAATTTATACTGGACAGCTGTGATACCGAGAGGTCACCCTCAGTGAACCAATAGCCTCCACACACCCTCAACAGCCAGCACAAATAGCAAACTCCCAGATGTCTTTACCTAGGGGCCTGGACCTGGTATAGGGATCCCCCACAGCTGCAGAAACTATGTCCTAACACCCCTGCTCCACCTCAGCAAGAATTAGCAGACACAAATTCTGACCAATCACTTAAAGGAAAGAAAGCGGAGAGAGGCAGAATAGGTGAGTGCATTAGGACTTACAAAACAGAAACCAGAAGCCCATCTGAGGCCAAGCCTGTCCCACCAGAAATGATGCAGCCCAATGATTTCTGCATCCCTCCAACTGAGGAGGCTGAAGCTACAACCCAGCCTCAGGGGTCTGCTCTCCAGCAAAGGAGAAAGGTGAAGAAAATGAGTAAAGGGGGAAAAGAAGAAAAAGGCTGGAAGCCCACAGACATCAAGAGAAAAGGCCTCAATAAAAGCCCAGCACAGGAACACATAAATCATCAGAGAAAGAAGAATGAGTAAAGCATCAAAGAGCAGCCAAAGCTCACTTAGCAAATATTGTAATATGAAGGAAAGTGAACCGATGAAAGACAAAATCCTATGGACTCCCCAGAGACTGTGGAACAGCAACACGAAACTCCAGAATGATTCAAAAGAGAAATGAAATTCAGAATAAAAGATATTAGGAGTGAATATTGATCAGAAATTGGAATTCTTAACAACGAAAATAGGGCTCTCAAAGAAGAAATTAAAAACACGGTGAACAGGGAAAAATAAAATTAATAATGGGCCATCTTTTAAATAATTTGAATAATATCAGCTAACATTTACATAGCACTCTAAGATTTGCAAAGTCCTTTCCATGTTTTATCTTGTTTGATCCTGACAATGCACCTGTGAGCTAGGTGCTATTGTTATTCTCATTTTTACAAATGAAGAGACTGAGGCTGAGAGTTTAAATGACTTATGCATAGCTAAGAGAGGACTTGAACCCCAACTTTTTCCTAAGTTTGGATCCAGTTTTATCCGCTATGCTTCCTACTTGACTCTAATTTGAAGTGAGAGAGAACACAAAAATACTAAAAGGGAGAAAAGGAGGATAGAAGAGAAGTAAACGGCAACCATAGTAAACAACAACAACAATATATGAATTATATTGAGGTTAAAGCAACTGACCTTGAAGATAGTATGAGCAGAAATGTGTTAAGGATCATAGGTCTCCTGGGAAGTATATGACAAAAAAATCTGACTAAAATAATGTAGGAAATAATACAAGAAAACTGTCCAGAATTTCTGAATAGATTAAATGGTGTATTGGAGAAGAGGGAGAAATAAGTTTAGGAAGGTAAGTTAGGAAGTTAGGAAGGTCCCTTGGTATCTAGAGCCAACCTGGGCCCTGCCTTGGACTATCATCTCCTTTCTCATTCCCAGATACCTAAATATCTGGAATCTAGCAAAGCCTATACCCTCTGCCTGTCCACCTCTCCCCTACATATTTATCTTCTGAAAATCCAAGCCCAGACTTTCCCCCTCCTCATCCTGGTTTACTTCCCAGACACCCTTCCTCTTCATTGTAGTGCTGGACTCCAGATCATGTCCACCTGAGCCACATTCTATTTTATACCTTCTCCTGAGCTGACAACCATTCACGCTTTCCAGGTCAACAACCAGATATCTGTTCATGAATAAAGTAGTTCTGATTTTAAAACAAAGAAAGGTAAGTTGGAACTACCTGCAAAGAGTAAATATCATTGAATCATTTATTTAAAGTTAGAAGGGACCAATTCTATGCTCTCCCCCACATCACAAATGAGGAAATTAGAGCCAGAGGTTATATGACTTGCTCAAAGTCACAGAGCCAGTAGGTAGCAGAGCTGAGACTTGAACCCACACCATCTTAATCTAAATCCAGCATGCTTTCCTCCATACCAGAGTTTGACCTTGAACCTGTAGGCATTGGATCTCATAGTCAGTGTTTGAGCTGGGGAGTAATGTGATAAAATCAGTATTCTAGGAAGATTAGTTTGCCGTGGTGTTCAGGATAGGTTGAAAGGGAAGGGAGTGTAGGCAGAAAGAACAGGTAGAAGGTGATGAAGTCCTAACAGAGTGTAATATAGGGTGAACCTGAAAGACATTCCTAAAGGAAAATCAATAGCACTTGGTGACAGATTAGAGATAGAAGAATGAAGGAGAGAAGTATCAAAGATGACTCAGAGGTTAATATACAAATCTCCCTGGGAGGGATAACACCTCTAGTCAATATCAGTAATTTACATCTTGGTATGAATGAGTTTTTGATATTCCAAAGAGAGTAGTTTTTATGGTGGAGGCAGAGGAAGTGTGGTCAAGAAACATGATTATTTTCTAAGGGTTTGAAGAAAAGGAGTTGCCAAAAGGGAGGATGAATATATTGTGGTGCTGATGACCAATTTTGCCTATTTCAAATTTTTGTCTGGAACCTGTGTTGCAGACTAGAGCTGGGGCACTGGGGGATTGGACTGATACCTCAAAAAAGTAATTTCCTCTCATTTCTATAGAAATGCAACCCCTCAAAAAAAAAAACAACTCCACACTGCTCCAGTGTGTGTTAATGTCAGCTGAAACTCACACCTAGAGGAGCTAAGTTCTTGATCCCACATTTTAAGAGGGACATTGACAAGCTGAAGAAGGCTTGAGTTGACACTGTACTAGGGATGTTTAATCTGGAGAAGAGACAACTCAGTGGGAACTTGATGATTGTGGAATAATTGGAGGACTGTCATGGAGATGAAATATTAGACTTGTTCTGTTTGGTCTAGATATAAAGCTAAAGGCAATGGGTAGAAATTGAAAAGATGCAAATTTAAATTTGAAAGAAGGAAAATTGCCTAATAATTAGTTATGCCCAAGGAGAATGGGCTACCTTAGGAGGTAGTGAGTTCCCCATCACTGGAGGTCTGCAAGCAGAGATTGGATGACTACTTGTCAGAATATTATAATGATATTTCTTCTTTAGGTCTATGTTGGACCAAATGGTCTCTGGAGTTTCTTTCAACTCTCAGATTGTGTGTTTCCTCAAGTCTCAGCATATACTCAAGTAATCTTGTCAATCTGGAGTGTGGATAATCCATTCCCATATTTCTTTCTTTCTCTCCTTTTCATTTATCTCTTTTTCTCTGTCTTTACTTTTCTCTTCAGGATGTCATTAATGGAAGGGATTTTCAAGATTATCTAATTTATTTTACAAATGAGGAAACTGAGACACAAAGAGGGAAAGATATCTGCCCAAGGTCACACAGCAAGCCAGCAGCTGAGTGAAGAATAAAATTCAGGTCTCCTGGCTCCTGGTGCACAGATCACTCCACAGCCTCCAAACACTTCCTCTCCTTTTATTATTTCCCCTTCATTTTGTCATCCCTCATTTACTGTCCTTTTCTTCAATCCCATTTCCCCTTTCTTTCTCTCCTTTCCTCTTTTATGTTTTGCTGGTGCGGTGGCTACAGAGCTGGAGTCAGGAGACATTGGCACAAATTCTACACTAGGCACTTTGGATATATAACCGTGAGTAAGTCAGTTCCCTCAAGCTTCAAGTCAAAATGCATTTATCACAAATCAGCAAGCATTTATTAAACACCTATTATTATTATATCAGATTGCACGCCATCTTGGGGAGGGAGGTGGGGAGGGAGAGGGAGAAGAATTTAAAACTCTAAAGCTTATGGAAGTGATTGTTGACGTTTCAAAATAAATTAATTTAAAAAAAGAGTTTGACTAGAAGGCAAAATATGTGGAGGAAAACAAAGAGCAATAAACTTAAATAAAGAGCAATAAACCTGAAAAAAAAAACACCTACTATTGACTAAATACTGGGGCAAAAATGGTTCCTGCCCTCAAGGGACTCAATCTAGTGTCCTCATCCTCCAGTGTCCTCAGTTTCCCCATCAATAAAATGGGGATGATAATGTAAAACTGGAATAATTCTATTCCTACCTTCCTCACAGAGTTGTTTTGAGGAAAACATTTTGCAAAACTTCAGGTGCTAGGTAAATATGAGTTGTTGTTGTTGTTACTATACCTGTCACTTGTTCTTCCCATAGTCTTCCCCCTCACTTCCTCTTTGGTCTTTTACTCACTGGCTCACCTGAACTGGCAACCTACTGCAAATTTGTTAGTGAGTTAATGACTTACCTCTCCCAGGTAACATATGCCCATTTTTAACATGCTCCTTCTCATGCCAGCACCTCTAGGTGGGAATTAGGTGGCTCTGGGAAGAGGGAAGGGGAGATATTAATGGTCAGCTGCTTATTCTGTCTATGATTAGAGCCAGGCCTGCCCATTCTCCCTCCCAAAGAGACAACCATCATGGATAGATTTTTTTTTTGAATGGCAACTTAACCACCCTCAGAAATGGGTTTGTTCAATGGGTGAAATACTTCTTGCATAGGGGGCTGGGCCTGAATACCTAAGCAGGAAGGGGACTAGACAGCTGGGTATTTGGCAAAGTTGCAACTCCATCCATGACAGATGTGCACCTAAGTGCACCTAATTATAGGGTGCAGTGTTGAGTGAGAGGCTGGAAAATTTTGGTTGACACTCCGTTAAAGGAAGACAAATAAGAATTGGAAGTAATTAAGAGTAAACAGATAATAATAGTTTACATATTTTAACTTCAGAGGCTTACACTTTCTATTGAGACTTCCCCAGCCTGAGTTCCTCACTGGATGATGTATGGGTCCTGTTTCCTTCCAGATATTAGTGTTTCATGGAGGAAAAATAATGCATTCCATGTTAATAGAAAAATAATAAGTGGTTTGTGCACATACTGAGGGCTCCAGCTCCAGCCCCTTCCAATCCAGAAGATGCATGGATTTAGAGATGCAGGAATACAGAGATGCAGAGCAGATGTGGTCCCAAAGTGTGCAAAGATGAAAAAAGGAGGTGGGGGAGTGGTTGCCAAGCACCAAACAGGAGGATACTTTTCTAGGAGGACTAAGACATCATTGGATGTGTGTGTGTGTGTGTGTTGTAGGGGATGGTTGTGTTTAGGGTGTGATGAATGGGGTCAGGTCCACCCTTGGGTAATTTCCTTAATCTCTCCCAAAAGTTTTCCCTTAAACCTTCAAATCTGGCTCCCCAGCCTGAGAGGAACCTCAGGAGGCCGAACCTCAATCCCCATGTTTTCCTTGAGTGCCCCTGGGTGCCCAGGTCTGTGTTTGGCTATGTTTTACTTCTTGAGGAAACATAGAAACCCATAATCCAATGCTTTTTTTATTACCTGGTTGTAGATGGGAGTCTCAGAAGGGTGGAGATAATTCTTAGAAAGAAAAAACCCATTCGACAGGGCAAGCCCATTGTTTTCTTTTTTCCTCAATAACCCTTTCATTATCTCCTCTTCTTCTCCCAAATATCGACCATACCACTTTAACCTGTAAAGTCCCATGAAATCAGATAGCCTGTGCTCCCCAGGAATTTCCCCATGCCATAGAGTTTTTTCCTTGCCCCATTCAAGCTTGCCCACCTTGAGGCCTTCGCCCTCTGGGAGGCAGTGGTATAACAGAAAGAACAGGGCTGTATTGAAAAGGACTGGGTTCAAATCCCTGTTCTGCTACATACTACCTATGCAGTCTTGAACCAACAATTCCCCTTTTCTCAGCTTCAGGTTCCCCATCCATAAAGTGAGGGGATTAGACTAGATCAGAGGTTCTTAACTTTTAATTTGTTTGTTTCATGGACCCCTTTGGCAGTCTTATGAAGCCTGTGGATCCCTTCTTAGAATGTTTCTAAAAAAATAAAACACATAGGACCACAAAGGAAACCAACTATATTGAGATTTGGCTTTGGAAGGAATTACATGGGCCCTAGGTTAACAACCTCTAAAGTCCTCTCCCTTGCTAGATCTTAGGATGCTACCGTGTGACTAAGCTTATTTTCTAGTGGCAGCTAACTAATTCAAGAAACTAATTAGTCTTAATGTGCTCTGGAGTGATGATGGATGGGCTTAATCACTCCCCTTCCCATGTCAGGAGGGCATTTTAACAGAGACTTTAGCCCACAATAATAACTCTACTAGTGGAACTTCAGGCATCACGGCAGACTAACTGGGGAGAGATTTGGGGGAAGAGGGCTCCGTTACCATACCAGATGGGTGGATGCCTATTGAGAATTGGACTTATAGTAGAGACCTTGTTTTAAGTCCTAGTATAGTTACTTACTTCCTGGGTGCCCACTGCAACTAATGCCTCTTTTCTGAGCCTCAGTTTCCTCATTTATAAAATAGGAGGATGTAACCAAAGGAGCATTGGGCCCAGGAAGGCCCCAGTCTGCATCCTGCTTTGGATACTTACTAGCTCTGTGATCCTAGGCAAGATACTTAATCTCTCTTGTCCTCAGTTTCTACTGAGTGAAATTAGTAGAATATATGGCCATCAAGGAACCTTCCAGGTCTAAAGCTACAATCCCTTATTCCTATAACTTTGTAATCTATGACCAGTTTTGAGCATCAAACTTCTGTCAGAGGATGGGTGAGATCAGCTATGAGCCCAGGGCCTAAAGGAACAGGAGTTGCCCCAGGAGATCATGGTCCTCCACCCATCAGAAGCTGGGGTGGCTGGTGGGATGCTTTGAGCTACAGTCTCCAGGATGCACCTGTCAGCTGCCACCACTGGCAGGCTCAGCCCTGGCTTCTTGGGGACATTGATGCTTGGAGAGATGTATTCTTTATTGTAGGACTTTGCCTGTCTGAGTGAATGAGCGTAGCTGGCTTTACTAAACAGGTGGTGGGCTTTTCTTTTATCTATCTCGAAGGCAATAATATGACTAATATCCTTCGTCTGAGAGTTTTATAGCATCCTTCATGCAATAATTAACCCAAGTTCAATTTAGTGCTAGTTACTATGATAAATGAAGCAAGCTGGGATTTAACCCTTTCCAGGGACACAGGCTGTTCATCCGTTGACAGACCCATAGAATTTCAGAGCTGGCCGAAGGAGGCAGAGTGGAGCCCTGAAGAGAGGGTTGGTTTTGAAGTTAGAAGACTAGGTTGACATCCCAGGTCCACTAGTCTGTAACTGTGGGACCTTGGGCAAGTCATAACCTAAGTGGGCCTCAGTTTCCTTATCTGCAAGATAAAGGAGCTGAATTAGATGATCTGTAAGGTCTCTCCCGGCTTTAAATCTCATGAGCCAAGAACATCTAAGAGCTGGCAGACACCTTTGAGGTCATCTAGGCTTCTCAAACTTTTTCCACTCATCACCCCTTCAGGGCTTCTTAAATTGTGGGCCACACCCCCATATGGGTCCAGTCCAGTCCTATATCTGTCCAGAGGGCGTCAGTAACTTGCCACTCACCCAGGTTTGCAACCTCAGAACCATCTTCAGCCTTGTCCTCACACCCTATATCTAATCAATTACTGAGGCTTCTCAATTCTACCTCTACAAGATCTTCATATTTATACCCTTATCTCCACTCACATGGCTAAGGTCTATATCACCCACCATCTAACCTACTAGATCCAATGTGCTAAATGGAACTCTTAGCCCTGGCACTTCATAAATGCTTATTCCATCCTTCCCCATTGAAATGGCCTCCTAGTTGGTTTCCCTGTCTCCACTCTCTCCCCTGTCCTTTTCCTCCTTGCAGCTGCCAGGTTGATGTATTTAAAGCATGTTACTCTACTCCTATCCCTGTCAAGAATCATTAGTGGCTCCCTATTGCCTCTAGCATTTAAAGCCCTTCATAATTTAGCTCCTATTTATTTCTCTAGACTGATTTAACTCCCTCACACACTTCACACACCTAACTAATTGCCCTGTTTCATGTTCCCTGAGAACAACCTTCTTCTCCTTCCTCCAAAGCCTTTGCATACCCTGTCCCCCAAGCTTTGAATGCCTTGCCTCCTCACCTCTTCCCCAGGCTCAGAATGCTCTGTCTCCTCATCTCCACCTTCTGCAATCCCCAGCTCCCTCTAAGGCTCAGCTTAAGTGCTACCTCCTACAGGAAGCCTTTTCAGAGGCCCCCAGTACTTACTGTGCCCTCCCCCTGAAATTACACTATATTCATTTTGTATTTACTCATCTGTGTAAAAACAAGAATAAAGTTCCTTCAAGTAGCATGCAATTTCCTTGAAAGTAAGGACTATTTCATTTGGATCTTTCTATTCCCAGAACCCAGCACAGCGGGTATATAGAATATAGTTGGTTCAATTCATTGCCTTCATATTATAATAGGGAAACTGAGGTCTAGAGAAAGAAAAATTGCTTTCCTGATGTCACAGAGTGAATCACTTGCAAAGCTAGGTATATTGCTCAGGTCTTATGATTCCTGGCCTGGCACCCCTGTTGGGAGTCCTTTGTTTTATTAGCATTGAGAAGACTGAGTTTACCGTAATTCACTGGTTAGAGAGCCCAGGAGTATGAGCCTTGTCTCCCCCTACCCCACTCCGACACCCCATCAAAGATCAAGATGGTATTATAGCATTTGAGATGGAGCAACAAGCCCTGGGCCATGCATTGGGCCAAGGTGATCCCACCTTAAGGGACCTGACAGGATAGTTAAGGAGATAAGACACATAGTTGGAAACAACAGTGAACAATGCAGGACAGAACATAGTTAGGTGCTCAATTGTGTGGCGCTGATAAGTAAGAGTTTGGAGAAAGAGAGAATGTAGTAGGCTGGGGTAGAAGCTAAAAGCTTCATGGGAGAGGTGGGGCCTTGGCTGGATTTTTAAGGCATTTGGGTTTAGAGGAAAGAGTGCTGGCCTTAGGATTTTAGGATCACAGCTTGAGCTGGAAGGGAACAGGTAAAGATCATCTCGTTCCATTTTACAGATAACAAAACCAAGACCCCTAAGAAGGAAAGTGATTTCATTAGATATAGGGTTGGAAGGGACTTTGTTGTTGTTCAGCTGTTTCAGTCATGTCTGACTCTTTGTGACTCCATTTAGGGTTTTCTTGGCAAAGATACTGGAGTGGCTTGCCATTTCCTTCTCCAGCTCATTTTTACAGATGAGGAAACTGAAGCAAACAGGGTGAAGTGACATGCCTAGGGTCACACAGTTGGTAAGCTTCTGAGGCCAGATTCGAACTCAGGAAGATGAGCATTCCTGATTCAATCCACCACATCACCAAGATGTGCTCTGGGGACTTTAGAAATTATCTAATCCAAGTATCCAAGTCCCATACTTTACAGATGTGGAATCAGAGACATAGAAAAGTTAAGAGGGTACCCAAGGTCACATGGATATGAGAATTGAAACTAGGTCTCTTGACTCTAAATCTAATGTGTTTTTCACAGGACCTTGCAATGGAAACGCCGAACTTGGAATCACAAGACCCGAGTCAAAGTCCACGCCATGCTCCTTACTCCCTATGTGATGTCGGACAAGCCACTCACCTTCCTTTGACATCAGCTCCCTCTTCTATGAAGTGCAGATGTTGGACTCAATGACTCTCGTGTCTCTTCCGGCTATAAATTTATGAAATTATATTTGATCGTCAGGCAGCTAGGTGGTAGAGTGCTGGGCCTGGAGTCAGGAAGATGAATTGTCCTGAGTTCGAATCTGACCTCAGACACTTACTAGCTGTGTGACGCTGGGCAAGTCACTTCACCCTGTTTGCCTCAGTTTCCTCATCTGTAAAATGAGCTGGAGAAGGAAATGGCAAACCATTCCAGGATCTCTGCCAAGAAAACCCCAAATGGGGTCACAGAGAGTTGGACGTGACTGAACAACAAATTTGATCATATATATAGCAGGTGGTTAATAAATGTCCATTGCCCTTGACTTTCTACCATTGCTTCCTGACTCTCAAATTAATATAATGGGCCATTGGAGCTAGGGTATTACTAAACTCCTTCAGATCACAAGATTTAGACCTGGGAGGTAATTTAGAGATTATCTAATCTACCCCAATCTCATTTTACAAAAGAGAAAACTAAGGCCCAGAGATTTTAAAGGACTTTCCCAAAGGTCTCACAGGTAATAAGTGACAAATTTGCCAAAGCAAAATCAGCAAGTACCAGACCTAGGACTTTCCCTCTGTTGTCATGTCCTTTGACTCCAAAGTTCAAAGACCTGAATTCAAATTCTAATTGGGTTATTACTGGCTATGTGACCTTGGATAAGTCACTTGACCTCTTGGGCCTCTGATTCCTCCTTTGTTAATTGAACTACATGAGCTACATGAACTACATGAGCTCTGAAGTCCCTGTCAGCTTGAACAATATCTGATTCAAAGGACAGGTAAGATTTATATGGGCCAGGAAGACGGTGAGGGTATTGGGAAGGGGGGGAACTGAGAAAGATTTTTCATTTCAGGTGGGGGATTTGTTGTTCTTCAGTCATTTCAGTTGTGTCCAACTCTTTGCCATTTCATTCTCCAGCTCATTTTACAGGTGAAGAAACTGAGGCAAACAGGTTAAGTGACTTACCTAGGGTCACACAACTAGTAAGTGTCTGAGGCTGGATTTGAACTCAGGAAGATGAGTCTTCCTGACTCCAGGCCTGATGCTCTATGCACTAAAGTGCCACCTAGCTACTCCCTGGTGGGGGACACAAGACAAGTAAAGATACAGAGGTCGACTTGGTATGATAATACTAGAAAGGTAGGAACTATTATTACACTCATTTTGCCGATGAGCAAACTGAGGCTTAGAGAGGTTTAGTAATTTACCCAGGGTCACATGGGTGATAATGATAATAGCTAGCATTTATATTAAGCTTTAAGATTTACAAAGCGCTTTACGTAAGTCTGTTAGTATTCGATCCTTACAACAAGTCTATGAGGTAGGTGCTGTTATTGGCCCCATTTTGCAGATAAGAAAGCTGAGGCACAGACAGGTTAAGTGCTTTGCCCACACAGCTAGTAAGTGTCTGAGTTAAGATGTGAACTTAGGTATTCCCAACTCTTCTTTATTACTCCACTTAGTTGACTCAAATACAGATGTGGAATGGGGAATTTCTTTTCTTTAAAAAAAGATCATATACTTATCCCAAGAGTAAAAGGGAGGGATGAGATGATGTCTTGGGGTCCCTTTCAGCCCGAGGACTCTATGAAGAGTGTAGCCCCAGAGAAGAGACTGGGCAAGGTTCTCTTTGGAAGTATGAAGAGGAATAAAATGACCTCAGAGATGGATGTTCTCTGGGTAGAGAAGTCTGTGGTTCCAAGAATTGCAATTGACTCACTCTTAGAAGAAAAAAAAAGAATGTAAAAAGCAATTGATTTGCTCCTTGGTCATTTACATGTAAGTGCAGCATCATCCACCCTGCCTATTGTGCCCGCCCATTCCGTAGAACAGTTCTGACTTGTCAGAAATGAAGGCTGACAAAGCATTTGTCCACTGACAAACCCTTTCCTCTCCGGGCAGCTTAGGGGACTAGATTCTCCTTAGAATCTGTGACTCCCCAGGGCCCTTCTTTTTTTTTTCCTCTGGTTTTCCAATAGAAACTCACAGAGAAGTCATAGTCCGGAGGGCTTCTCTTCCTCTATGGCCACCCCTGCCCTATTATGCCCAGTCTATTATTACCCTACAACACGTTGAGGTCAGGAACCATGTCTTCTCTTTATTCTGTTTCAAGAACTTGATAGACACTCTAAGGGTCTATATGCCAGCCTTGCTGACTGACTGTTCAGAACTTAGGAGCTCTCCATTAAATCATCTTCTGTCATTTAGAGCAGGGGTCTTTAATCTGGGGAAAGGGTTTGTCAGTGGACAAATGCTTTGTCAGCCTTCATTTCTCACAAATCAGAGCTGTTCTAGGGAATGGGCGGGCACCACAGGCAGGGTAGATGATTTTAGGAGGTCTGGGAACTCAGACGGGAAAAAGTTGCATCTTTACTTCCACTAACGTGTAATTGAAATTTAGCATTTCTTCAACTAAGAACTATAAAGATATATTATCCTAAGAAGAGTTCTATAGGTCTTACCAGATTTCAGAGGAGTCCATGACACAAAAATATTAGGAATCTTTGATTTAAAGAGTCTCTAAAAATCTCTCCTCCTCCAGAAAGCCCTGGAATCATAAAATCACAGAATGTCAGAGCTGAAAGGGACCTTAGGGGTTATGTAATTCAGAGATATTAAGCAGGAGCCTTCTCCATTCCTTGGAAAATATTTAACAAAGTAAATAAACATATGAAAGAGCATAGATAGTGTTAATATGTGGTTTTCTACATCAATATGTGGCCCACAGGGATTCTTATATACCATTTAACGGCCCCATTTCTATTTGAGTTTGACACCCCTGATTGTATTCCACCTTCCTTGCCCCCTATGGAGGCATTCTCTACCTTTTAAAAAAAGTGAAATTAAAATTTTCAATTATTAAGCAGGTATTTTCTTGCCCAAGTCCCCTTTCCCCCATTGAAAAGAAAAATAGAACTCTTGTTGTGAATGTGCATAGTCAAGCAAAACAATTCCATTGTCCATGTCTAAAAATGTGTATCTCATTCTGAATCTTGATTCTGTTCCTCCTCTGTCAGTAGGTGGGTAGCAGAGATCTTTATCAGTTCTCTAGAACTGTAGTAGGTCATTGCATTGATTGGAGTTCCTAAGTCTTTCAAAGTTGTTTGTTTTTACCATATTGTTTCTATTGTATAAATTGTTCTTCTGGTTCTGCTCACTTCACTCTGTGTCATTTCATACAAGTCTTCTCAGGTTTCTCTGAAGCCATCCCTTTCATATTTTCTTATAGCATAATAGTATCTATCATATTCACATCCAAAATTTTGTTCACCTATTGATGGGCACCCCTTTAGTTTCAGGAGTCCTCAGTATAGTCCCCATGAGTCTGAAGGTCATTTTCTTTGATGCAGAAGACAAAAGACAATTTTTCTGGTTAGCAGCAGTTTTCTTAGAATGCCAAGCTAGAAGGGACCTCAGAAATCATTTAGCATACCACCTTCATTTTACTGATCAAGAAAATGACATCTAGAGAGAGAAGAAAGGACTTGCTCAAGGTCACACAGCTAGTAAATAGCAGAGCTGGAAATAAAACCTAGATTTTCCAAATCTTCAGAGTCTTCCAAGTCTATTGTGCTTTCCAGATCATCATGCACCCTCTAAGCCCTTTGTTTGTAGATAAGCAAACTGAATCCCGTATTAAGGGATAACCTAGGGTCATGTAGTGAATCTGAGGCAGAGCTAAGACCAGAACCCACCTCTCCTGGCTCCTACTTCAGGGTTTCACTGTGCCATCCTACCTCTTAGGACTCATCCCATTGTGCTAAAATTTCCACTGTGCCAGCCAGCCTACCTCTTAGGACTCATCCCATTGTGCAAAAATTCATAAGACAAACCCATTCCTAAAGCTGTTGTGGTTAGAAGAGAAGGGGGTTCAGCAGAAGTCCATTATGGTGTGTGAACCAAGGAGTCCTGATGCCTGCCCAGTGCTCTCTCTATGGCCCCTCACTCCCCTTGCCTTAATCTTCCTTAAAAGAAAGAGAGATTCCCCTCTAAAGAACATTAGCAACCCAGTTCAACTCCCCAAATAAATAAAGCACAGCCCCTGTGTGAGCTGCTGACCAGCGCTGACAGCCTGTCTTTAATTCACTCGGAGATTTGGGGTTTTTTCCCCTCCAGGTAGAAGTGATAAGTGTCAATGCCAGCTCTTTCTCTAACTCAGAATCTAACTGCTCTCCAGAACTTCAATCAGCCACCTAATGCTTACCAGCCCAGGAATGTAGCCTCAGCTGCAGCTGAGAAAACTCCCATGCAATTATAGCCTCTCATGACTTCTCGTCTTCCAGCGACTGCTAAAGATGTGTGTGGGGGTAGGGTCCCTACCCACTGGGAACTCAGAGCCCAAGCCAATTTGACTGAGAGGATAGGCAGAAACAATTCTTTCATTTTTAGGGATCCCATCAGGATTTTGTCATTCATTCATTCAATACACATTTATAAAGTGCCTACTTTATGTACCCATGTGCTAAGTGCTAGGGCTTACAAAGAGGCAAAAGAAAGTTCATTTACTGATTTAACAAATGTTATTTTATTATGCCCAAAGGGCTATAAAAATGTGCATACCCTTTGACCCAGCAATAACACTTCTGGGGCTTTATCCCAAAGAGATCATACAAATGGGAAAAAGACCCACACATACAAAAATATTTATAGTAGCTTCTTTTGTGATGGCAAAGAATTGGAAATTGAGAGGATACCCATCAATTGAGGAATGGCTGAACAAGTTGCTGTACATGAATATAATGGAATACCATTGTGCTATAAGAAATGATGAACAGGTGGATTTCAGAAAAACCTAGAAAGACTTGCATGGTCTGATGCAGAGTGAAGTGAGTAGAACCAGTAGAACGTTGTACACAGTGACAGCCACGTTGTGCGATGACTAATATTGATAGA